ATAGGACATTCACCAATATGACTTCATTTGGCCGTAAAACTCACCTCTTGGTGCCAGCACTGCAGCATAGTGGGTAAAGCCACAACCTGCGATGCTGGCATCCCATATTGGTACAATTTTGAGTCCTGGCTCCTTCTCTTCCCATCCAGCTCCCTGCTAATGTGCTTGGGAAAGTAGCAGAAGGTGGCCCAAATACTTGGGCCCCTGATCCACATGAGACCTGGATGAAGCTCTTGGCTCCTTCTTGGCCCAGCCCCGGATGTTGTGGTCATTTAGGGAGTGAACCAGCAGATGGAAGATCCTGTCTCCCTCTTTCGCTCAGTAACTCTTTCAGATAAACAAACAAATCTTAAAAAACAAAAAACAAAAAACAAAAAACCTGAGGGGCCAGTGCTATGGTGTAGCAGGTTAAGCTGCTGCCTGAAGTGCCGGCATCCCATATGGGCGCCAGTTCGAGACCCAGCTGCTCTACTTCCAATCCAGCTCTCTTCTCTGACCTGGGAAAGCAGCAGAAGATGGTCCAAGTTCTTGGGCCCCTGCACCCGCATAGGGGACCCGGAAGAAGTTCCTGGCTCCTGGCTTCAGATCAGTGCAGCTCCAGCCGTTGCGGCCATTTGGGGAGTGAACCAACGGATGGAAGACCCCCCCACCCCCGTCTTTCCTCTCTCTGTGTAACTCTTTCAACAAAATAAATAAATCTTTAAAAAAAAAAAAAGAATTGAACTTCACTCTTACTATTCACTGTCCACAAAAACTGACTCAAGAAGGAGCAAAGATGGCCAAGTGTGGTGTGGCCTCTGGGCCTGGAGTACATGACCCTGGGAAGGCCGAGTGTAGCCGTGGCACTGCAAGGGATTCCTAACATGGGAAGAACATGTTCCTTGACTTTTAGGTGTTTTGCTACGCACTGTGAAGGAAAATTCTGATTCAGCATTTGGCAGGTATTTCTGAGTTGACTCTGGAGCAGGTGGTCCTGACTCCTCTATCCAGGCTCCCTGCTCTCCCAGCGAGGATATTTCTTCTCTGTACACTACCTCTGTGCCTTGGAATGGAAAGACTGCTTCTCTTTTGTTCCACCTCTCACATCCAAGAGAGAAACCCGTGGGATGCAGCTTTCCTCCAACTTCTTCAGGAAGAAAGAAGCAATGGACACGGGTCTTCTGACTAATTCCAAAGAAGTTATTCTACAAGCTGAAGGCTGGTGTTCAATTTGAAGCAGGTGCCTAGGGGGTGGTGGTCGTGAATCCTTTACCTCTTCTTCAAACCAGAAGACTAAATAGCAAGTTCAGATGTCTTCCAGTTTCACCACTATTACGATAAGCACAGTAGAGACTGTTGCAGAAAATTCCAATGTGCTTTTCTAATTTGAAATGGGAAGAGATGGAAAATAGTGACACACGTTTATGCATTTAAATCCTGGTTATCTTGTGACATTGATTCACTTGCTGGGCAAGAACAGAGGTCTAAGTCTGCAATTACATCTTGGATATGCTACAACAACACAGGGACGAGACACGAAGGTTGATTTCACATGTGGATGAATTTCTTTTCAATACACATGTCCAAATATTTGGAAGAAAAAGAGGGATTTTTTCTCCTAGAGAAGGAAGCTGTTGTTGACTTCTTTCTCAGAAGTCTTTGGACAATTGGTATTTTTAATTTGTTTTCGTTTTTCTAAGGGACAACAAGATTGTAGAGCAGCTTACCCGCTGACTGCTTGCTTAGATTTAATCAAAAGGGTGGTGAAAGGAAACGAAACAGTTTTGTGTGCAGGGATGGACAGCCCTGTCACCTCCCCAGCACGGAGGCCGCTGTGTTACCAGGGACTTTGTTCTTTTCTGTGCAGTGTTGCAAAGCACTTCAGATCCTGTTTTCCATGTTGCTATGGCTGGAGGACAACGACATGGGTGGCTTTTTTCAGTACAGGAGACGCGATGGACCCTTTAATATAGACTGCCCTCAACTCTGGACACAGAGGAGTGGGAAGACAAAGGCAGAAAAGCTGCCTTGTGATCCCTTCTCCTACAGGAAAGAAACAAAGATGTCTTCAGCAGCTCCTTCTGACTTCTGGCATTTTGCCTTAGACAACCTCATCCGTGGTAAAGCAAGGATGACTTCCTTCAGCCCAAGATGGTTACCTGGGTATCTGCTTGATTTTTATTTTTCTTTTTTTTTTAAGATTTATTTATTTGAAAGAGTTACACAAAGAGAGGAGAGGCAGAGAGAGAGAGAGGTCTTCCACCCAATGGTTTACTCAGAGCTGTGCCGATCCAAAGCCAGGAGCCAGGAGCTTCTTCTGAGTCTCTCACACGGGTACAGGGGCCCAAGCACTTGGGCCATCTTCTACTGCTTTCCCAGGCCATAGCAGAGAGCTGGATAGGAAGTGGAGTAGCTGGGTCTCTAACCGGCACCCATATGGGATGCCAGTGCTTCAGGCCAGGGTGTTAACCTGCTGCACCATAGCGCCAGGCCCTGCTTGATTTTTCTAGGTGAGAGGTATAATGCTAGGTGGAGAAGGCTGGGACTCAGGTATCTTCCCCTAATTGGAACTGCTCTTGATCAGAGAATGGGCCTCAGAAGAAAAGTTTCCAAACTTAGTGTTGGGTCACTGTCGATTTAGAAGAAATTTAGGCTCTGGAAAACCTCAAGAAAAAAAGTTCCAATAAGAAAAAACCAAACACAAACAAACAAAAAACTCAAACTGGGTCATAGACCTAAATGTAAGGCCTAAACCTATAAAACTTCTAGAGGGGCAGGCATTGTGGGGCAGTGGATTCAGCTGTTGGACCCACATCTTCCTGCTAATGTCCACCACAGGAGGCAGCAGGTAATGACTCAAGTACTTGGGTCCCTGCCACTCATGTGGGAAACCTGGATGGCCTGACCTCAGTTATTGTGGGTATTTGGGGAGTAAACCAGCAGATGGAAGACTGATCTCTCTTTCTCTCTCCCCTTTCTCTTCTCTCTGACCACCCCCCCCCCCGCATTGCTAAGCCATTCAAATAAATAAAAACAAATAAGTAAATCTGAAAAAAAGGAATCCATTCTACCCCTGGGTATTGACCCAAGAGAAATTAACACGCATGTCCACAGAAAAACCTGTACACGTAGGTTTACAGTGGCTTTATTCAAAGTCACCCCAAACTTCTGACCTGAGAGTGGACAGGCAGGCTGTGTAACATCCACACCACGGAACACGATTCGGCAATGCAAAAAGGCATAAACAACTGGTATACACAACCCATGTCTCAGTTAAGAATGCATTACAACTAAATGAAAGATGCAGACACAAAAGCGCAAAAGCCTACATACTACATGACTTCACTTACCCCACAGCCCAGAAACTCTACAGGGTCAGAAAACAGATGAGAGGTTGCTGGTGACTGGGGTGGGGGATGGGGTTAACTACAAAGGCACTTGGGGAGCTTTCTGGGGGTGAAGCAAATGTGCTATTGATTATTGTGATGATTTCACAAAGCATGCGTTTGTCAAAACTCAGAACTGCACTAAAAGGCAAATCGGTACTATATGCATACTTTGATGAGCTTCACTTAACCAAACTGTGACACATCCGTACAATTGTATATTATGCAATTGTTTCAAAAATGAGATGGATCCATATGTGCTGGCAATGAGGTCATCTCCAACGTGCATCGTGGGGGGTTAAAAATCAAGGTACAGAACAATAAACAAGGCGTGTTTTCCTTTACCGGAACATTGGGGAGGGGTCTGGAGTGGCAGTACCCTTCGTACTGTTTGAGTTTTGTTTTTCAAAACCACATGCCTGTCTTATTTTCAATTAGGAAAAGCAAAAGAAACCTACACATGGGTCAAAGAAAACTCACAGGTGTCTGGGCCACAAGACCGAGTCCTGCCGGCTCGCGAAAACATGTGTAAAGACATAGAACACACTGCCAGACACATTAGCGGCGCTCAGTAAACAGCTGTGGGAAGCCGAATAGTTGGAACTGATTCAGAAGGCAGCCCCTGGACAAAGAGATCTCTCTCTGAGCCCTGGATCCCCTGCCAGCACAGCCCCCTGCCCTACACACGGAGCTACGCTTGGATTGCTCACATTAGGAAAGCAAAGGAGTCTAAAACCCAAAGGCCCTGGGTTTACTCCGGGGCTGTCTGTTTCTCTGCATAGCTCTGCAGGCACATTGTGCACCATCCCTCACCCCTCGGCAGTTCAAGGGCTGGGAGGCAAGTCCTTCCCCCAGTGAGCAGAGCCCACCCACGGGCTCCCATGGTGGGCCATGTGCTACTCACACCCCACGCCCAGAGGGTCCTGCGTAGCTTTCCCTCGCACCCTCTGAGTCAGAAGCTCCTATCACTTTCTGAAGGAACAAGACAAGCCTGATGGTCTCACTGCACCCCAAGACACAAGACAAGACTATCTCACCCTTAAGCCCCTCTTCCATACCACGGCTTCAGGAAAGAAAATCTAAAAGGAGAAGGTGGATAAGTGAGTGAGCCTAAATCCTTGGCAGCATTTGGTAAAAGAAACTTTCTGGATTGAGTGCCTTTTTTCAGTGAGCCTGGTATCAAGGAAACCAGGAGCTCTGGAACGCAAGATGGAATGACATGGGAGGAGCTAATACTCAGCCTCAGAAGTCTCTTTGTCCCTGCTTTGTTTGGATTGGCCTCTCCGAAGCCAGCTGTTGGTCTGTCTTCCAAAAAGCTTTGCTGGGTCTCTGACACCAGATCACAGGAGCTTCTCTAATTGGTGGTCTTGGCTGCTATGGATGCTTGGGCCTCTATGGGACAGCCACGGAGGCTCTCACTCCTCACAGCTGGTGGGACAAGCCACACCACCAGGTGCCAGCTCCAGGAGGCAGGCACAGAGTGTGGCCAGAGTGGGAACCAACTACAAGCAAAGGCCTTTCTAGGACACAGGAGGGATGTTAGGACAGAATCTTGTTTCCCCAGCAGGTCGTGTGTGGCCGCGAGGGCTGTGGTGCGGGCTGCTCAGGCAGAGGAAGGAAAATGGAAGTGCTTACCGGGGGAAGATGGCGGTCATCAGGGCAGAAGCATAGCCAGGCTTGCACGCTCCCTCGGAGAAGTTTGCGTACTTGGTGGCTAACTCAGCAGGCCTATGGGGAGAGAAGGACAGTCACAGCTTGCCAGGCATGGAGCAGTACCTGGGCTTTCAATTCATGAAGAGACGTGGGTGTCTGCACCTGGAATAAAGCCTCACTCCCCACCAGCAGCACCTCAGGCCCTTTTCTACACCAGGGCCCCCGTGATCCTATCTGCTAGGCCACTCTCCTAATGCTCACAAAGGCTGGGAATGGGCAGGCTGATGCCAGGAACTGGGAATTCAATCCAGGTCTCCCACCTGGGTGGTAGGAACTCAATTGTGTAAGCCATCAGGATCTGCATTAGCAGGAAGCTGGACTCAGGAGCTGGAGCTGGGAATCAAATCCAGGTGCTCTGACATGGGATGTGGTCACCTTAACCAGTGGGCTCAATGCCTGCCCCTCACATGGATCCTCTACAGCAAGCCTGATACCAAGGAAGTCAGGAACTCCATCTGGGCTCCCAGCCCTGGGGAGCAGCACTTGGTGCTCCTTGGGTTGAGACTGTTAGCGGCCCTGCCTTCCCACCTTCCTGGAATGTTCCTACATGTCCAGTCTCATCCACTCCTCTTCTCTTGCACACGCTCTGTGACCCTCTAGTGGGAAGCATGGCCAGTGGCCTGAATATGGACACAACAAACGTGTCCTTGGGACTCCTGCCGTAACCACTGGACGCTCAGTGGGGCATGCGCTCCTGCAAGGTTACCCTTGGTCCTTCTCCAGCTAGCTAATGCCTACCGGCTCTTCACAGCTACACTCGGCTTCACTGGGAGCAGTGCCCCGAGTCCAGACTGGGCCAAGTGCCTCCTCTGCGCTCCACCAGTCCCTCCCCTGCCACCCTCATGACATGCACACCTGACAGCACTAGCCAGGCTGTCTGGTAATTGTCAGTGGCGAGTGTCCTCGCATCACTCTGTAAATTCCTGAGGTCAGGGTCTGCGTTAACTTTGCCCCTGGCTCCTTGTACAGAGACAGGCACACAGAAGATCTCTTTAATTTCTACAAAGGAAAAAAGTGACCCTGATAGCCCCCATTGTACTCTGCACAGCTGGCAAGGCAGGAGACCACAGGCCAGGGACTGCGGAATGAGCAATTGTGTGACTGCCATCATCTTTGGATTTCAGTGTGGTTTATGGGTTTAATGGGTTCACTGTGGGGCTGGAGTCACTGCCCTATCACCCAACACTCTGCTCTCTGCACCCTGGAGGAAATCACAACTCAAGAACAGGGTCTCTTCAGTGAATTGGCTCAGTGACTGTGGGGCACCTGAGTGAGCTCTGGCTGCCAGCTCTAAGCCCCAACCTCCTCCACCCCTGCCCATGGGCCCAGTGCCAGCACTCTGGTGTCCAGCTGCCTTCAGGCAAGTCTGCCATAAGCACTGCCTTCTGCAGGGACTCGGGGAGGCTGGTGGTGCCTGTACTGCACGGCGAGAGACGGTGCTGCCAATAGCTGGTTCACTCCTTGACCCCCATGGGCCAAGTACAGGGCCTTGCCCAGAGTAAATGAGCCAAACACATCTACGTCCATGTGCGATCTCGTTCAGAAATCTACATTTTGAAACCTTCCCTACCAGTGAAACTCAAAGCCTGAAATGTAAATGACACACCAGAGTTGGGATTTTATTTGGTAGGCAAAAGAAAGTCAAAAATTTCAACAAGAGAACAATAGTATTTCCTTATGCAAACTACACTTTCAAAATGAAAATTGAACGTCACAGCAATTACTGCATTCACTGGGAGCTTCTGGCCTCGGCACGGTGATGAGAACATTCTAGGTTGCTTTCAGTTACTCCTTGTAACAGCAATGTGAGCAGGTGCTGTGAATGACCAATCCACACACGGGCTCAGCAGGTTAAGCTAGTACTTGGACACCAGCATCCCATACTGAGTGCCAGCTTGTGTTTCGGCAGCTCCACTTCCCATCCAGCTTCCTGCTAACACAACTGAGAAGGCAGTGGAGGATGGCCAAAGTTAATTGGGTCTTTGCCACCCATGTGGGAGGCCTGGATGGAGTTCTGGGCCCCTGGCTTCAGCCTGGACCAACCCCATTCTTTGTGGCCATTTGTGGAGTGAACAAGCAAATGGAAGACCTCCCCTCAGCATTCTCTCTCTCGCTCTCTCTCTACACTAACACATACACACACACACACACACACACATCTTTTTTTCTCTCCCTCTCTCTCTGCCTGTCAAGTAAATAAATGAATCTTTTATAAAAAAAGAACAGGATCTCATCCAAGATCATACAGCTGGAACATGGCAGGTACTGGATTTGACTGGCTCCTCTCTAAACCAGCAGCCACCAGCCACCAGCCACGTGACCACAGAGGAAGGGGCGGGGCCCAACGACAGTACAGGGTTGCTCAGGGTGTTCGGGGTGGCTCGAGGCAGCCTACAGTAGGGGGCCCACAGCCTTCCCACAGGAAGCACATGGCAGCGCAGCATCCGAATCCCTCCCTGTCCTGTCCCCCATTGCCCACCGTCTGCCCGTCGGCCTTTCAGAGTCCCAGAAAGTTTCATAAAGAAGTCGAAAGACAGGTGGCAGCTGCCCTTCTTAACACAGAGCATGGCGGAGATAAATGTATGACACAAGCCAACACTTTGACCACATCTTTCCTGTCTCTAGTGCTTGCGGGTGGACTCCTAGTGAGGTGCTTACAGGTTCAGGGCTGTGGATGGTCCAGGGTTCATGGGTTCAGATCATCCAGCGGGGAGCACAGGGAAGCCAGAACCCAGCAGGGAAGGCAGGGGACAGGGCAGAGCCAGCAGGAAGAGCTTTCAATCAACCCTTCACCCCGCAAGCAACAGTGGCTTCTAACACGCACAACTGGGCACAGTGGGCCCTGCCGTCGAGTGATTACCAAATTAAAATGCCTTGGAAATGGCCTCCTGCGTATCCCAGTGAGAGAAGAATAGGGGGAGTGTTGGGGACTCTGAGTCATCCAGCAGGCTGGGACCTCTGGGGCACTGTGCGGTCAGAACCACCAAGAATGACTGTCGCCAACTCCCTCAGGCCAGCATACTTAGTTTCTCTCAGGCACTCCCGCTCCAAATGCCAGGAGGCCTCGCAGATGTCTGATCCAATCATTCGGCCCTTGTTCTCCTGGACCTCACAGCTGGCCTTTCGTCTGGCGAGAGGAAACTCTGCAACCAGTAAGAGCACCCTTTGTCCTGTGAACGTGACGGGTGCAAGCCGCTGCCTGTCAGGGGACACCCACGGGGACAGCGGGGAGCCCAGGGAAGGGACCAGACCTCCACTCCCCTGCTTCACCGAGATGAGTAATCAGCCACAGAGGGGGCCGCGAATGGCAAGGCCGTTGCTTCTGGAATCAGAAGCTTCCAGTGAGGACGCTGACCAGCTGTGCGACCTGGGGCAAGTGGGGGGAGATGTGATTCTCAGCTCCCTCGTGTACACTGGGAACCGAGTTAATTCCCAGGGTCTGGTGAGGATGTGGTAAGGAAGCAGGTGTGGTCCTCTGCAGCAGTACACGGATGCTACTGTATGACGAGGCATGAAGGCAAGCGGCCAGCACGTGGAGGCTCTGAGCCTCAAGCCTGCACTTGATCCGGAGGGACTGGCATTACCATAAAGCCGATGCATGGCTCCCAGCAGGAGGGCACCCTCGAAGGGTCAGCATTTGGGAGATGAGAAGTTAGCAGGAGGCTGAGTGGAGCAATCAGGCAGGTAGCAAACTAATCAGGAGACAGAGTGCTGTTACAGTTGCGGAGGGAAGGAGATGTGGCAAGAAGGACGAAGGGACCAACTGTGACAACCCCTGGTGGCCTGGTAAGGTGTGGCTGTACAATTGCCTGCTAGGCTTGGCAACATGGAGGCGCAGGTGACTTTGACAAGAGCTGTTTCACTGGTGTGTGTGGGCAAACTCTGATTTCATGGGACCTAAGAGAAAATGGGAGGAGAACAGCCAGAGTCCTAGAGACTATTTTTATGAGTTTTGCTACAAAGGAAGGGAGGGGTGGGGAGAGAGAAAGAGGGGTGGGGCAATAGCTGAAGGGTAAAGACAGCATTTTTTGAGGTTGGGAAATATTTTAGCATGTTTATAAGCTGGCTAGAATATGAGAAAAATCTCATGATGCAGTAGAGATGAGACAGTTGCCGGAGGAATGCCCTTGAGAAAGTGTGTGTGTGGCAGGCGGGGTGGGGGGGGATCCAGGACAAAAGCAAAAGGATTAGCTAGACTCTGCTCCCTAACCCACCCTGGGCAACCGATGCTGTTCAAGTACTACTTCCTATAAGAAGTTCCCATTATACTTCCTCTCCCAAGAACAACCAATCCATCCCACCAGTGGACCCAGCCTACCTAGGGCAGACTGCCACTTGAGCGCTGCACCTGTCCCCACACCCTCTTTCTTGCCCACCTTCTACCCCTCACTTTCATTCAACAATCATGCAGAAGCAATGGAGTCAGTCTGCAGGATTTTTATCCTAGCTCCATCCCTTACTAGCTGTGTGATTTGGAGCATATTACTTAATTGTTGTGTGCCCTTAAATTGCCAGGCTTTAAAACTGACATGAGGGGCCAGCATTGTGGCATAGTAGGTTAGGCCTCTGCCTGTGGCACTGGCATTCCATATGGGTTCCAGTTAGAATCCTGGCTGCTCCACTTCTGATCTGGTTCCCTGCTGATGGCCTGGGAAAGTAATGGAAGATGGCCCAAGTGCTTGGGCCCCTACACCCATGTAGGAGACCTGGAAGAAGCTCCTGGCTCCTGGCTTCAGATCAGCTCAGCTCTGGCTGCTGCAGCCATTTGGGGAGTGAACCATTGGATGGAAGACCTCTTTCTCTGTCTTGCCCCCTCTCTGTAACCTTGCCTCTCAAATAAGTAAAATAAATGTTTCTTAAAAACCTGATATTATACTAGTGCTGACTTTATAAAGTTGTTGTGAGGATTGTGTGGAGAATTGAGGGCTGGCACCTGGCACAATGCGTGGCAGACATGTGGTTGTCACTCAGTACATGCTACCCTGTCTGGTTGCCATGGGCCAGACACTGGCTTG